ATATTTTTCGCTGTATTTCACGTATGTCTCCCATAGGAAATGTTCGCGCGATAATTCACGGTAGTGAGAATCCGCGAGATATGCCGATATATATATATATATATATATATATATATATATATATATATATATATATATATATATATATATATATATATATATATATATATATATATATATATATATATATATATATATATATATATATATATATATATACACACATCATACATATATATATAATTGTGATATAACCTTAACGAATAATAATATATTGTGATAATGTCAATTATCATTATGTGTGATTAATAATTTTTATTAAACTTTTCAGGTAATCACGTTCGATGAGTTAAAGACTGGATATAAAAATCCGATCGATCAATGTAATAACTTAAATCCGGTAAGACATGTGTATGCGTTTACTGGATGTCAAATAATACATCCAGATAGCCAAATTTATCAAAAGATACATTTTGCAGCGTCTGTCATAAATTTCATCAGTGGAATGCCAGCAGAAATAGCAAATTAATTATAGAACTTCAGCGAAGTGTGCATTTTGTAATCATTTGAGTAATATATATTAATTGAATGATTGTTACCTGATCGATTCCGTTCAGTCTTTTTACTACATTGATAGACTTTCTCGATGGATTTAAACTAGATGCAATTGACCAATATTTTATACAAATCTGCTGGCAAATTACTACTATAATATGCTGCTAATATTTTGGTTACAGAGATATTACTTGTCACAGATAATTCTTTAATCATTACACATTTTGATTTCAGCTTGTTCTACCAGAGTATATACTGCACGTTGTGATCAATCTTTTATTTTTGATTAGCGAGCAATACTTTTCGCTATTTATCAATATCCCACTCATAGCTTATCATGTGTGGAGATACATGAACAGGCCTCTGATGACAGAATCAGGCCTCTATGATCCTACAAGCATAATGAATGCTTATGATTTGTCCATGTATCATAGAGAAGGATGGATTAAACTAGCCTTTTACCTTTTGTCATTTTTTTATTACTTGTATGGGTAAGTTCTCTCATTCGCTTAATGCCTTATATCTTTATTTAATATATTAATCTTCTTGCTATAATTCGTATTCTAGAATGATCAGCTCACTGATAAATTGAAATGAGCAACCATCATAAAGATTTTTCATTTTTTCTGTTTGGTGCAATGGTTGCTTATGCTGGAAATACAAGTTGTTTTCAACTTGTAGTAATGGGAGTTTTATAACAAGTATTACGGAGAAAGATTCTTTGACATCCAACATATAGGTAAACTTTTTAACACACACACACGCACACGCACATACATACACTCACTCACTCACTCACTCACTCACTCACTCACTCACTCACTCACTCACTCACTCACTCACTCACTCACTCACTCACTCACTCACTCACTCACTCACTCACTCACTCACTCACTCACTCACTCACTCACTCACTCACTCACTCACTCACTCACTCACTCACTCACTCACTCACTCACTCACTCACTCACTCACTCACTCACTCACTCACTCACTCACTCACTCACTCACTCACTCACTCACTCACTCACTCACTCACTCACTCACTCACTCACTCACTCACTCACTCACTCACTCACTCACTCACTCACTCACTCACTCACTCACTCACTCACTCACTCACTCACTCACTCACTCACTCACTCACTCACTCACTCACTCACTCACTCACTCACTCACTCACTCACTCACTCACTCACTCACTCACTCACTCACTCACTCACTCACTCACTCACTCACTCACTCTAAAGTGCGCGCGCACGCGCGCGTGTATGATCTAGACTACATTAGACATTTTTCTGGAGTATGCCACTATATATACTACAAGCAAGATATTTATATAAGTATGAATAAAAAAGATTTTGAGTCAAAATCAAATATTATAAATATTATTGTGCTTTTGTCAGACATACAAAGCTTCCGAATATTTCCGAACGAACAGACAAATAAACATTAATACTGTCTGTATTTCGAAAAAAAATATCTGCGTATTGTTTACAAACTCGATTTCAACACAATAGATTTAATAGTTTTTGATACCTTTGTATGTAAAGTGTTCTTTTCTTTTCTTTCATGTATGATAAAGCATATATTTCATTTAACTTTTGTATGTAACTATGATACAAAAGTATTATAGTTAATAAAAATGAAATAAATAATATATAACTAATATGTACAAACTCTATATACTTTTTAACTTGTGTTATAATTTTTGTGCCATTATAATTTTTTTATGTAATAAACTATGATCTCTTTCGAATGTGTGTGTGTGTGTGTGTGTGTGTGTGTGTGTGTGTGTGTGTGTGTGTGTGTGTAATTTAGAATTCATTTAAAAAGAAGTGTCTTGTCCAAGAACCAATCAATTTCTAATGCGCATTGAACTTCGCGCAAGTTAACCTGCAACCTGCAACGGCAAAACTGCGGAAATTTTAAATCGTAATTTTTCACAAGATAAATATATTTTCTTCAAGAGAAAATAAAAGCGTAAATGAAATACGAAATAGCTAATGAATAAATTTATATCAAATATTATTTCTCTTAACTCACATGTCGATCATTGCTGTAACACCATACAGATTTTACACGCCTCTCCATTTCCAACAATTCCAGCATTGACTGCTTGTATCTGCTGAAGTAACAACCGGTAAGACTACACGTCATTTTGATGTATGTGACAACTTCTCAATACAATTAAAGTAATTTGTTTGATGTAAACAGGATTATTAAATCCAAAAAGATACGTTAATTGTTTCAGAATAAAGTAATCTGATGGAAATTTGTTTTGTGATATTACCTAACCTAAAAGTTTATTGTAACTTAATTACAGGTAACTTAATTAGATTCCTAATATTACTGTGAAAAAAAAGATATTGAAGACTTACTTGTTTATTCTGAGATTATTGTAGTATAAAGATGCCAACTATTGGAATAAAACGTGACTTGCTATTTGAAGCATTAGGCCAAACATATTGTAAGTTATATATATATATGTGCGTGCGCGCGTACATGTATGCGCGTGCATGTGTGTTTTTACTGATGTGTAGTATCAGTAAAGTTAGTTTATGTATCATAAATATTTTAATCTGTAATAAACTTTTAAACCTTGGTTCAGCTGACGATGAGTTCCAAACATTATGCTTCAAATTTGGTTTAGAGCTAGATGAAGTAGTAAGTGTTGAACTATCTTAACAATTTGTACATTTTACTTAACAGTAATTACTTGACCTTTTGCAAATAGACAACGGAGAAACAAATGTTAGCAAAGGAACAAGGTTTTGATCAAGGTACAATAGATGCCTCTGAAGAGATTATCTATAAAATTGATATACCTGCTAACAGATATGATCTTTTGTGCTTGGAGAGCCTAAGTACTGGATTGCTTATATTCTTGAACAAGTAAATGCTGCACTATATGCTTTTGTAATTTAGATCACAAAACTTTCATTTCTCAAGTATTATATTTCAAAGTATAAGTTTTATTTTCTTAAATAGGATATCCATACCATGTTACAAGGCAATCAAACCAAACACAGGAATGGAAAGGATAGTGATGAGCCCAGAGGTAGTATGGAATAATTATGAAAAGAAAATTTTACATTATACATGCACTTATTCAGCTAAATTATCTATCTTGTTATTCTTTAGTGCTTAAAAATAAGAGGGCATATAGTTGCTGCAATTTTAAGAGATGTTACTTTGACGCAAGAATCTTATAATAGTTTTATCGATCTTCAAGATAAACTGCATCAGAATATAGGAAGAAAACGTAGTCTAGTTTCTATTGGAACTCATGATTTGGATACAGTTAAAGGTCCATTTCTATATGATGCTAGATCACCATCGAAGATACGTTTCAAACCACTTTATCAGGAAAAAGAATATACAGGAGAAGAAATCATACAATTGTATGCAGTAAGTATGCAATCCCTCTCATCCGTATTTGTTAATTATGTAAATAGTTTCACATATAAATAAAGAAACCTCATATCTATATATTTGTTGTATTGTATTTTTAATGTTTACAGACACACGCGCAGCTCAAACAATATTTACCCATTATAAAAGACAGTCCTGTTTATCCCGTGGTATATGATAATAATGGTATTGTTTTATCTCTCCCTCCTATTATTAATGGGGATCATTCAAAGATCACACTTAATACAAAAAATATTTTTATTGAATGTACAGCAACTGATGTTACAAAGGTATGTACATTTGCATGTTGCGTAAAGCTATTCTACTCATTGTATATACAGGGTGGCATGAATTTACGGCCCCACTCGTTCCGAACAGGTAGAGTGGACTAAACTGAGTAGAAAAGTCCTCTACCATTTTGCAATGCTCGCAATAATTAATGAGATATTAACGTTTAAAGATAGCCGAATATGCATGTTCTCCCGACCTATTATTGCCGAAGGTACGGCCCACCGAACGTGCGAGCCGCGAGGAGCGGGGCTTACCGTCGCGAGGCTCTAAGCTCGAATAGCGCGGCGCGTCTGCTAGACCATCTCTGCTCCTCGCGGCTCGCGTGCCATGCACTCGGTAGGCCGTACCTTCGGCAATAGTAGGTCGGGTGGACTCGCGTATTCGGCTATCTTTAAACGTTAATATCTCGTTAATTATTGCGAGTATTGCAAAATGATGACTTTTCTACTCAGTTTAATCTACTCTACCTGCTCGGGACGAGTCATATATTCATGCCACCCTGTATATTTCTACTTGCGCGCAAGTACTATTTAAAAGTAATAATTTAAAATTATAAGATGTCAATGATTAATGTTATTAATTGATATATGAAATATTACATGTAATTTTATTACAAATTCTTACAAATTATTATATTATCTGTAGGCAAGAATAGTGTTGGATACGATAGTCTGTGCTTTCAGTCAGTATTGCAATATGAAATATACAGCCGAAATTGTGGAAGTAGTATATCCCGATAATCAAACTTTCTATTATCCAGAATTAAAATATCGAACAGAAGAAATTAATTACAATAAAGCGATTAGTTACATTGGTATTAAGTACGTAATTGAATTTTGCGTTGCAATAATGTAATAATGATTGCAGACGTAACTATATAATTATTTAAAAACATTCTCTCTCTCCCTTTCTGCCCCCCTCCTCTCCCTCTAGACAGACTCCAAATCAAGTTGCAAAGTTGTTGTCAAAAATGTCTTTAAAATCTGAGATGAAAGATAAGGATACATTAATGGTAGAAATTCCACCGACAAGACATGATGTAATACATCCTTGCGATATTTATGAAGATATCGCTATCGCTTATGGATATAACGAAATAGAAAAAACTATACCAAATATATCGACAGTCGCGGCAGAAGTAAATATTCTATAAACTCTGATTATAATTTCATGTATCGATGTCACATACTTGTATACATACAAATATATGAATTCCAGTTTCCACTCAACAAACTTACTGACCAAATACGGATGGAGTTAGCTCAAGCGGGATTCACCGAAGCACTGACTTTCTCACTGGTATGTTTCGAAAAAGTTTGTTCACGCTTAATAATATATATATATATATATGTAATATAATATTCAGTGGATTCTAAAATTTGCATTTAATTATTTTATAGTGTTCGCGTGAAGATATAGCGGACAAATTAGGATACAAGATAGAGGATGTACCAGCAGTTCATATATCCAATCCAAAAACTTTGGAGTTTCAGGTAAACCGAAAATATTTTTTAGAAAAAGAGGAAGATGTTAAAAGTAATAAGAGAATATTAAAAATACAAAACCTCTGTACTGTAACCGAGCTTGAAACGAACTGAAATATAAAATAATTTTGATTGTAATATTGTTCGAACTGAAATGTGTGAAATAACAGCTTTTAATAATTAAAAAAAAAAAAAAAAATTTGCAGGTTGCGCGTACCTCACTTTTACCAGGATTGCTTAAAACAATATCGGCAAATAAAAGGATGCCTTTGCCTCATAAATTGTTTGAAGTTTCCGACGTTGTATTGCGAGACGACACGGCGGAAGTCGGTGCGCGCAACAATCGTCGTTTATGCGCAGTATATGCTAATAAATCGGCTGGTTTCGAGATAATTCATGGTCTGGTAGATAGAGTACTATTACTATTAGAGATACCCTGGAGCGCTAATAAGGATAAAAGTGGATATTATCTGCGTGCAGCTGATGGTAAGATAAATGGTGTTTGGAATGTATCCGTTTGATCAAATAACTATACGAATATGGAATACCGGCTTTACGAAATAAAAGAATTTATTACTTGTATTTTGCAGACCCGATGTTTTTCCCTCAACGATGTGCTGAAATTGTCTGTTATGGTGAAGCGATAGGAAAATTAGGAGTTTTACATCCCGATGTACTCTCAAAGTTTGAATTAAATATTCCATGTTCTGCGATGGAAATAAACATTGAACCGTTTTTGTAATAAAAATAAATAATGCGTAAATAGCAAAGTTAAAAAAATGAGGCTTCCATCATTCAGAGTTGAATTCTTCAACAGAGAGAACTTGTGCTTATTTATAACAATTGAAATGTAAGCATTAAGTTAATCTTTCTGCATGCGTACTCTCGTATCTTTTGAAAATTAAAGAAAATTAAAAAAAAATTTTAATTACAAAAATATATAAAGGAAACTCGATTTTTTTTACAAATAAACACTTGAAAAATCTTGCAAAAATCTGTTGTAATTATTTAGTTTCTTTTTGTCTACTTGAAATCAAAAAATGCTACAATTTAAGATGCTATATCTAGGTAAGAAATAAAAGTTTATATTTTTGTTTCAATTTATTAGTTTTGTTTAATTTATTAAATTTAAATATTGAAAAATTAATTGGTGTTCACTTATTATTTTTTTTAATGAAGCTATATTTTGATCATTTTCAGTGTCCTCTATTTCTCTCTCTCTCTCTCTCTCTCTCTCTCTCTCTCGTATAAACGTAAAATTGTGTAAAAACTATCAATACGTTCTTTAATGATCAAACAGACATTTTCTACTAGGAAACATGATATTTTTTTCGCTGTTGAAGACTGTCAATCATCTGATTTGGATAATTAACAAATGAAAAGAGACGGCGAATGAAGATATCTGTGCGCAATTGAAGTTGAGCGCCAGACGAGACGACACGACACGACACAACACGACACGCGTGACAGTGTAGTAGGACAGGTAGGGCTGCGTTCGGAAACATCAGCCGGATACCCACGTTTAATGTTTATCATCCTATCTTTGTTCAGATTCCTACCTAGGTGCTCTCCAGGTGTCATGTCATCCTTGTCTAATGTACGATAAACAACAAGAATGGAGTGATACCTGGGTGATACTCGAGGGGGGGAGGGGAATCTGAATAAGGATAAAATGATACACATAACACAGGCGACAGACGATAGCGAAGGGTGAACGCGCAGCGGTAGACCAGTCTAGAGTAATATGCCGTATCTAATATAATGATATATGCCATTGCCAATATTGTCATGAACGCCATGAGCCATGAATGCCATGTAGGCCGTGTGACATGGATAGAGCGCAGTGTAGACGTAGAGGGAGCGCAGCCGCGAACATTCGAGATCGAGGAGTGAAGCAGAATGAAAGGTTGGCTCAACCGCGCCGCGGTTCGTCAAAGCTAAGAATCGCTAAGCGCCGTGCGCTAGACTAAAGTGACGGCGGACGGCGGACGGCCGAGTGTGGACGGATGTGCGATCACTGCGATCATTACGATCCGCGGCGCGGCCGGCCAACCGCGAGACGCGAGCACCGAACATCGAACACGAGCAGCAGCAGCAGCAGCGAGCGGCGAGAACGAGAACGAGAAGTGAAAAGTGGTAATAGTGGTATATTGGAGAGTCTGCTCTGGTCTCGCTCGCCGTCGTCGGCCATAGTGAAAATGGCGGGTATTAGCTTACGTGAATGACGACGACCGTTCGCCTCCCGAGAGCTTATAATCGCACAGTCGCGGAGAGATTTCGAGTGTACGGTGTGTGCTTTGCCGCAGTATATCAGCGAGGTAACTGTGTGTCATATGATTTATCTGGGGGGTAAAGATGCAGAATGTAGCACAAGGAACGACCTCGGATAGCCAGAAAAGCCTCGAGAAGCCAGTCTTGCAGCCAGCAGCAGCAGCGGTATTACCATCACCACTACCAGCGAACGTTCACCACGACACTGGAAAAACGTCATCGACTCCCCAGTCTTCGAATTCGAGTCCCACGAAATCGGAGACTGAGACCTTCTCCGAGCTGCAACCGCGTTTTATGACAGATTCGTCAGAGAGCGAGGAGGACAGCGTTTCCGAGGTAAACGCTAACGCTAAATCCTAGGCGAGCTTCTCTCTCTCTCTCTCTCTCTTTCTCCCCCTCCCCCCTCCCTTCCCCTTTCGTGCGCGCGCGCGCGCGCGCCTAGATGCAACGTGATGAGATTTCGCCTTGCCGTGCGCACGGCCAACAGGACATGAGAGTAAGAGAGAAAAGGTGGGGACACGGTTCTCAAATGGAATGAGAAAGAGAGAGTATATGTGTATGTGTGAGTGAGCGAGAGAGAGGGGAAAAGGAAGAGAGAGAGAGAGAGAGTGTGTGTGTGTGTGTGTGTGTGTGTGCGTGCGTGTGCGCGCGCGCGCGCGCAAACTATGGCCTACGCTCGTGAATACGTATACACGCGTTCGCGAACGATCATAGTCTTAACGAACCGAGCTTCTTGACATGAAACATGCCGATTTTATCTTACGTAGGCGTCGTCTTCCTTTTCTTCCTCTCTCGGCAACGACGTTGACACACTCATCATCGTTCGCAGGGCGGATACACGCGCTATCTCCGTTGGATCGCGTTCGCCAGTTCTAGGAACGCGCGCTCAATTCCGATCTCGAATTATCTGCCGTTGAGCTCGCTCGAATATCTCTCCTTTCTATCTTTCTCGCTCTTGGTCTTTTTTTTTCCACTCGCTGGCGTTTCCTCTGGCATTTCCTATTTGTGTTAACGCGTATTTTCGCGTCAGCATTGTTGCACCGAGGATGTTGGCGACATTATGTGCATGCACGCGCTCGTTATACCGGATCGATCGTAACGATCTACGCGACGTGCGTGCGCGCGCGCGCGTGTGTGTGTAATGTGTGCGTGCTTGCGCGCGCGCGCGCCTGGTGTGTATGTATGTATGAAATGATGCGTATGAAACGATATATCCATCCATACACGGCCGTTACGCGCACACATATTTGGATGTTCCTCGTGATTTCCATATACATATGCTTAAACTCACGCGTGTCATTGGCATATGTTTCGTGTGTATGCGTGAGAGGACATTCAAGTCAAGCAGAGAAAACGACGAGGTTATGACTAGTCGTCACTGTGCCAAGATAGTTTCGTTAAGAGACTATGGAAGGGTACACTTGAAAATAGGTCTGTTCTTTTTAGCTAAGATTCTTGCATACTTTATCTTTCTTCCTTTTCCACGTTGGAGAGAAAAAGATGAAGAAGCTTAGCTCTCTAAAAGGAACAGATCCAATGATTGAAATTTCTATTCTCTTCATTCAAAAGAGTATATGTATATACATACATATATATCCTGCACATTTTAAACTGTACTACAAAATAATTTGTCGACAAGTATGTTTGACAAAAAAATATACTTGTCTTTCTGAACGGTTAAAAGCGAATAATCGAGAGATAACTAAGAACAATTTTTTATTTCATTCGTTATCACCTCTTACTCGTAAGGCAACAGATAGAAATGTGAAAAGGAGAATAAATCATTAAAGGGAATGTCAGTTTGTAATTTTATGATTCTAAAGTGACTATGATTCGATCAACAAAACAGTGTCACCTTGCAGTTGATTCTATTTGAAACTTTAATAAATCATTGGATCGTAATTTATAATAATTTATACGTACGTTTGCAGGGAGGAAAAAGTTTTGACACGCGCGTAAGGTGGACTATCGAGGATTTCCTCGCCTGCGCGCTGCGTCACGCGGCGAGTTTCAGGAGGAATGTACAAACTCATGAGAATCGGGTTTAACAGCTCTTGAGTGTCTTAACACTACGTTTGATAGTAACGTATGTCCAACGTACGTCTTTAGACCAATTTTCCGCAGGGTTCGGTAATGCCAAGTTAAACAATTAAAAAGTTTATTCATTTTTTCTTAATTTAATTACCCTTTTTTTTTTGGTATTAACTTAACTTCTAATTTGACTTTTTTCAAGGTAACCCTCGGCCACAATGCGAGAGGATAATGAGTATATAATTTAGTAATTTTATGTCATTTACATGATATTGTATACAATCATTTGTTGTAAACCAAAATAACCAGTGATCTGATTAATTTAATCGTAATGATTAATACTAACAGTCGACAGGACTGTTTATTATGGAATTACTAATCACATTGTTGATCGTTTCTAATCTAATTTCTCTTTCCACGTATTAAGTAACAAGAAATTAATTGTCCACATATAAATAACGTTAGTAGTATAAGCTTGTATGCAAAATAATAAATAAGCGTAAGGTCAGTGACCAAAGAAACGAGCATGATGGTCCAAATAATACAAGTTCTGCCTAGGTTAATCGAAATTAACATTCTCGTAGATAACACTTGCTCGACAGGTTTTGTCAGTCAAATGTCAAATTTGCTGCAAGCTCTATAGGAAATGTTTGACCTGGGTCATCATTGTTTGAGAGATCAATACTTTCGTAAGGGAAAAGAATATGATACAATACTTTTTACAAAGTTTTATCTACTGATATTCACTGATTGATTAACGTCTCTTTCCGTCTTGGAACGTCTTGCTCTCTATCGCTATCCTGTAAAGCACAAATTTAAAATTTTCCCACTCTTGTTGTCACATTCTTGTTTATGGCACAGCTGTTTAAGGATAATAATTTAGAAAAATTAATACTAAATAACTGAGGTCGAGTTGCGAATCACATCGATCACAAAAAGAATTGATTTCCTTGCCTTTTTTCTCATCATTTACGATAGAGGATGATAATACGATTATAACCTAAAAGTCATAAAAATATCAATCGGAATTTGCTTGACACAAATTATCATGTGCTTTTGCAATCCCATTCAACAACGTCCGATAATATCGATGAGATAAATCAAAGACCAAAAAAATCCTAGTTAATTTAAATAGTTGATTTCTTGTTTATCTATAATAATTAAAATTATTAAAGTCCATATAGAGAGGCACCAATGTCTTAATTATGGTTTTTTTTTTTCAGTGTTATCTCCCTAGTCTAAGCTAGTAACCATTAATTCTTGCACATTTATGTGCGTCTAATTTTCTGCCAAACATTGAATGCCCAATTCTCAAGTATCTACACGAGTGTTTAATTAGCACTTAATTGTACACTAGATTGCAGTCTGTTTAATACTAATAGAAGAATTAATTGATGCGATAGGCGTAACTTTTGGATGCGTAAAGATGTTGCAGCTCTTTTAATAATGAACATTCCCAATTCTTTTATTTCAAATCTTTTTCCTTCAAACAACTTTTAAGCTTCAAGACTATATTTGAGCAATATCTATTTTACAAATTTATAAGAATTATACTCTCCTTTCTATTAACCAAATTTGTTGTCAATCAAGTTTTCGCAAAAGTTTGTTAAATTGAATCCAAGACGAATTTTTTATTGACTTTGTTGTCCTCATGTGATCGAAGCTATTTTTTTCCTTCTAATATTGTAACATTGGTTTTAATTTCTAGACTTTGTTTCGTCCTCCTCTCTCTTGCCAAGGTCTGTACATGTAGACATATAGAATTGTATTTATGTCGCTGTATAAAAACGTATTGTGCAAAGTCAATTACGTTGGCATACCTATTTGCTGAAATGTTCTTTTTGCTTTAAACATTTGAGCAGACACACACACAGGGAGCGTCCCGAAATTCGCGAATCAGAATAGCTGCACAGTAGAAAGAGTTTGAAAAGATTTCGGGACACCCTGTACACACATGCGCACGTGTAGTATGTATACATATACACGCATATACCCGTCTGCAATTAAGTAAGTAGATCTGTAAACGTACTTTGCACATTTTTTTGCATAATGACACAAATGCATAAATTTTATCAAATCACCTGTAAACAGGTAGTGAAGAATTGAATAAATAATGATCGGAGCTCGAAACGAAGAAAAGGCAAGCTCCAGCAACTTATCAACTAGCGATTAACACAGTGAAGTACCTTAGAGATATTCAACGAATTACACTTGGAATTTTACTTGGAGCAAAATAAAGTCGTCGATCAAGTTCTATCTTAGACGGAACGTGGTCGAGGTCGTCCTAAGGGTTCGCGATCGCATCGAGAAACGTATCCTCTTTCCCACACAATCTCTGTCTCGCTTGTACAACCACCACCTTTCCTCTCCACCTCACCCACTCGTCGAGTTTATCGTCGTTATTCGTGTTAGTTAGATTTCGCATCAGCCACCAGGTGGTCTTGGTTTCGCTAGATGCGTACACGTAGATGGCCAGTCTCGCCGTAACCTCGTCGTCGTCGTCGTCGTCGTCATTGCGGTCGCGGTCGCGGTCGTTGAGGGACGAAGGGACTGGAGTTGAGAAAGGAAGGAGGAATGTCAGCGGGGAATTCAGGAAAGGGTTATATAACCCATGAGGAGTTGATACATGTATGAGTTAATAGTTGCTGACGACATCGTTGAGCGCTTGAAGCTTTCTTTTCGTTGTCGCTTCGTCTCTCGCGAATTCGCTGATCGCTCACGCAATTCCCCGCACACATCCTCCTATCTTTGCCAGTTGCCTCCTCTCCACTCCTTTCTCTCGTTATAGTGCAAGCGTGCGCGTTGCAACGACTTGCACCTTCATTCTGATGTCTATGGGAGCACACGAGATCGCTGAGCATCGCGGCCACCGAAGTGCAGTGTTCGAATGCCGTAGCCGTTCCCAATCCTTCCCATCCTTTATCCTTTAGCCTTCCTCCTTCCCCTTCCCTGGCAACCCCGTGCTCGCGCTCGGACGTAAGACTCTAAGAGTCGCGGAGAGGAGGAACGAAGGAGAAAGAGTGAAAGAAGAGAATGACTGGCATGCATGTGTATGTGTTATATTTGTCAGAGCGTGTGCAATGCTGGTAAAGTACTCGCACGCGCGAGTACACACACACACACACACACACACACACACACGCGCGCGCGCGCGCGCGCGCGTAATAATACATGCTTGTACGCGCATAGTCGTGCAGGAAACGGTGCACTGCACAAACACAGGGCTACAGGGCAACGCGCGTCGCACGTGCATCCATCCCGTCGATTCGCGTATGCGTGCGCGCATACGCACATGACGCGCGCGCGCAGTACATATCATGTACATGGGATGCGCGAGTTGCGCGCGTTGCGTGAGTGTTCAGTGTACTGCGTTCGTCGCACTGCTGTCGGGCGCACCACCTAGTGGGTTTCCCGTAATACGCCGCGCGTTCTTACTCGCGAGCAGTCGCGAGTGTCCGTACGAGTTCGCTCACGGTGACGATTAGCTCGTCCGTCCAACCTCTGAACCTCCACCATCAGTTGCACTCGCTCGCGTAATTGTTCGCGGCGTACCATACCGGTGGCGTTCTCTCACTACGCTTTAAGCTTTAACTGCTTTAAGGCTTTAAGACTTTAAGGCGTCGTCTTGCTTCATTCCGCGCGTAGCGCAGCATAGCACTCGCTCGCTGGTCGATGCACGCGTGGATTGTGGAAGCGACCATATTCTATATCCGACGGTGTTGGTACGGAATTCCTCCTCGTCTCCTTCCGTTCAGACTGCGTGGAAGAGAAAGAACTCGTCGATCTCATTCGTCGTGCGCGCGCTATGTGTGTGCGTGTACATGTGTGTCCCGACGCGAATGTACGACGGCCGATCCGGCACGCGCGAGGGGCGCGGCAGGACGT